ACAAGGCTCACGTCCTTCACGAAGCAGGAGAAGTGTCAAAATGCATTTCTGGGAGCCTTGTCAATCCTGTTAAATGGTGGGTCATCTGAATGCTTTTATCAGTGGTAATGATCTTTGACTTGTTCTTTAATACCGCATAGTGCGACTAACAGCTGCGCTAAGCAAATTTGAAGCTGGTGACATGTCGTACTAAGTACGCTATCTCGGTCTTCTCCAAAGCAGACCTCGCCGTGCCGTGAGCATAGTTCTCAACAAAGCGAGAGGGGAAAAAACAACCCTAAACCCTAAACCCTAAACCCTAAACCCTAAACCCTACACCCTAAACTTAAGCAAGCTCAAAGCCTGAAAAAGGGATCCTTCAGGTACAGTTGCTGGCCCCTGACGACTACAGCCCGAAGGGCCCGCCGTGACGGGCTTAGGGAAAGTCGTGGGTTTGGTCGGGATTTAGGGTTTAGGGTTTAGGGGTTTAGGGTTTAGGGTTTAGGGTTTAGGGGTTTAGGGGTGGTCGTGGATTCGCTGCTAATTTTGGGGGTTCGTGGCTTTTGGAAGAGGTTTCAGTAGCGTTGAGAACATGTCTTCATACGCTGGCTGAGGTGTCTGTTGGGTTTCAGGGTGTTTCAAGGCTTCAAAGGTTCTCCGGGTTTAGGATGAAGTGGTTTTCGGTTCGGTGACCAGTAGTAGCCGCTACTCCTGGTACTATGGTTCTGACTAGCGCAGGGACTTCTACCGGACATTCAAGAGTCTTTTTCCGACTTGTCGTAGCTCAGAGGTTTCGGGGCTTGACGGGTCAGCAGGGTTTTAGGACTTACGGTGTTTAGTCTCGGATTTACAACATTGGCTGAAAAGTTGATCCTAAACCCGGAACGGAGGTTGGCCTGTTTCGGAGGCGCTTGTTGTCGTCGCCTCGTCGAAAGTCATCTACAGTAATCTAAACTAAACCACACCCCAAACCCTACTTAGAGGATCACGGGACTCGGGATATGGGTGCCTTAGTTACCGTGCTTGTAACCCTGCTCCGTTTAAATGAAGCCTTAACTTCCAGACCCTCAAGCTATGGGAATGCTTCGCCAGCAGCAGGTAAGATGCGATTCCTCAATACCTCTCCACCTTCTTGTTGCCGACGTGCGAACCGTGAAGCTCGCCTGGTGTCTCAAGCCGACAGAAGACCTAATCCGATTCCACCACCAAAACTCCCGCTCCCTCGACACTCCGGCGCTTCCGAAGCACCAGACTCATACAACGCGTCCCTTTTGAAACCCTGTACTTTCTCCTTCCCCACAGCCACCGACAAACTGCAATGCTTTCTTTTCCCAGGTTGCGTCCCCCTTCGGATGCCTTTCATCCGTCCGGCCTCGCTGTGGTTGGAGATCGGGTGCCTCCGCTTTGGTTCGTGGCTTCGGGTCTAGGCCACCGCTAGACTCCTTTTCGGGCTCATGATTTTGCAAGCTGTTGCACATTGCTGCGCACTGGCTTGCATGCTTGAAGTTGGTTCAGACCCAGGCTTCTACTTTTGGAGGACAGCATACCGGCTGGTTCTTGTCTTGAGGCAACATGGTATATCCCTCTAGCAAGGAAGGGAGTACATTTGCATGGAATGGAATGGCAATTGCTGGTATGAACCCTGCTCAGGAGAGTCTCGCCCCAAAATTCACCAATGCCCGTTTCGTGACCGTGTTTCTGGCATGGTTGTTCACATGCGAGGCACTTGATAAGCCCATGGTGATCGCCTGTCGCCAGCATCTGCATACTACGACGCCTTGCAGTGGGGGTTGAGTGTGTGGCAGCCTTACCCCGTGGCCGTGCATCATAAGGCGTGCCCGTGGGTAGGGTGTTGGAGTTTAGCTGCTTGTGGCAGATTCGGCTTCACCTCATACTTGGAGGTTCATGGGTAGTTATAAATAGGGTTATCAGTAGGTAAGTATACTTAGCGACCATATTAGGGGACTTATAACCCCACTTATAGCTACCCATGAACCTCCAGGTACAGAGGAAGCTGTATCGTTCGAACTGAACAGCCTCGCCTTGGGTGTCCGTTAAACCCCAAGATCAAACCCGAGGCTATAAAGCCCCAACCCTATGACACTATGACATCAGATATCCCGTTGGAGAGGATGCGTTTCATCTGCATCCCTGTACCCTAAAAAAACCGTACAAGAATCAGATATGCGCATTTTCATCTTCTCTGTCAGAAGCCAAGGTTTTCGTGAGCTGCTCTAGAACTTCGACGCTCCACCAGCCCCTTAGTTCAAGCTGAAGGAGTTTCTACGGCGGTTTCTGGTAGGGGTCTCTTCGTTTTTGGAGGAGTTGGCTGATGCTGATGATGCTCTCGCGCGAGGGTCGGCTGGTGCTGATGATGCTCTCACATTGGCTGGATGCGCGCGTGCGCGAGGGCCGCTTGAGGCTGATGCTCATGATGCTCTCACGTGCTCGTGCGAGGGCTGGGTGATGCTGATCATGCCCGGGCGGGTGGGCTGGCTGATGCTGGTGATGCTCTCACACGCAGGTTGGCTGATGCTGGTGATGCTCTCTCGGGAGGGTCGGCTGATGCTGATGACGCTCTCACACGAAGCTTGCCTGATGCCCATGATGCTGACGTTAGGGCTGATGATGTCCTCACGTGAAGACCGGCCGACGCGGAGGTTCAGCTTGCGCGACGGAAGCCATCTGGAGCAGCGGAAAGGTGGCAGCTCGGAGTTGCACCTTGAAGCGTGCAAGGCATTTCATAGTCAGGCTGCCCCTGAGCGGGCTTATTTCGTCGGTGTTGTGAAGAAGGGTCTTCGGAAGCGGGAGCTTTTGGGAGAGCGGGCTTTGCAGTTAGACCGGCCGGCCAGAGATAGACTCAGTTTCGGGGATTCCCCAGCATTGGTTCCAGACCGACAGGATCTCTGCTTCTGTGGTTTCCGTGTTTGCAGCTTATTGGAATCATGTCCCATTGCTGCTGAGAGGTTGAGTGGAAGTGGAGACCATTGCTCTTGATTCCCCTTTGCTTTTCAGCTTGTGGGCAGTGAGCACACAAAGGCTAAGAAGGGCTTAGACTTAGGACTTCTATACATATATATATATATATGTGTGTGTGTGTGTGTATTCATGTTATTCGTATGCATACGTATCTTCTGCATGTGTATGTGGATTTACTGAGGATCTTACTGGGAGCTGCAAGAGCCGAGTGGCATGGCAGTGATCGAGGCCAGTGCTGATGTCAAACGCAGAAACTGAGAGGGGCAGAAATCAAACCGGTTTTAGGGTTGAAGGGCGTCTATTCAAGGGTTGCTCCAGGCGCTGTAACTCTGTTCATGGTGTTTTCCGATCTGCTTCGCAGCTGGGTTGGTGATCCGAGCATACCTGACACAGTAGACTCAGTAGTTAGACGGAAGCCTTGAACCCAGGCCCACTCTCCATGCTTCTACCCGAAACTCTAAGAAGCAAAGCAGTAAGCACAAAAGCAGCTTAATCCCAACAGCCTTAATACACAGCTAGGCCCTAAACCCTGTACTTAATAGGACCTTGCCTGCACGCTCTTGAAGTCTTCCACCCTAAACCCTAAACCCTAAACGTGTGGAGCCTTGCCTGCGTGCGAGTGTGAGAGTCGAAACCCTAAACCCTAAACCGACAGATTTGGACCCTCGATGGATCAGGATCGCATCCTGGCGATTGCCGACCGCGGGCTGGCAACCTGCCGTAGCTTAAAGCTGGAGAAGATGAACTAATGTAGGGGCCTAAATAATTACCTAAGCCAATCCGATTTACGATGTTGGGGTTTCTTAGTATAATTATAGTATGATGGGCCCCAAAGCCCTATTCTAATTACTAAGGCCCCTGTATTAGAGTCTGAGGGTTCTCGCCTCAGGGTTTGAAGACTCAGGGCTTGGGTTTGTGAGGTCAACTCTACGGTTTTTCTGTGCATTTAGACCCTTAACCCTTTGAGGGCGCTGGCCGTAAACGAAGACTCTGGCCGTAAACGAAGAAGGAAGACACACTGGTTGGTGAAGGCTGTCCAACATCTCCGTGTTGTAATCATCGCCCATATACCATGTAACTCTAAACGTAGCAGGTTCTAGTTATGAAGGCGATGTGGGATTGAGGACGTCTACGGAAACGGTTCGCTATGCCCTCCAGTGATTCCTACGGTTGCTGTCAGTACTTGGAAGATCATGGAACTTAGTAAATAAGGTTATAAGTCCCTTAGTTGGGGTTATAAGTATAGTTACCGTAATTATAACCCTACTTACTAAGGCCCATGCTCCTTTAAGTAGTGGTGTTCAGCCAGAACTTGTTGAAGCCGCATGGCTTGTTTGCATTACTACTGTTTCCCGATATACATCAGCTCGAGTCATGTCCACAAATTGGAGAGGAAGTCTTAAACAAACGGCGTGAGGGAGACCGCATGTGGCAATTACAGGCTTCCGGCCTCGAAGGGCTGTCAGCGCTTGGTGTTTTGATATTTTTTTGCTTGGTGGGGTGAGCAACCTATGTAGACCCAAAATTCCGAAAAGCGCAGCCGTTGCCGATGTCATGTATCTTAGCAGCAGGCAAAAAATCAGTCCTGAGCCCCCCCTTTCCAAAAATAGACCAGGGCAACTAGAAATCCCCAAGATCTGCCGTAAAGATCCTACACCCTAAACCGTAAACCCTGAAACGGGCCGCCGAGCACCGCGTGCTGCTCCTGGATGCAGAGAGCCTGGATTTCCATGGCATGGTCCCAGATCCCCAGGCCAGGCGACAGCGTTTCTTTACTGTAGGGGCCGTAATAATTAGAATATGGTTTTGGGGTGTATTATACTAGAATTATATAAGGAGCCCCCAAGCTAGTATAGAAAATTATTAAGGCCTCTCTATTGATTTTGGAGCTTGAAAGGTACCTACCAGGTTTTCGACCCACACTTGGTGCCGACGTGGATTCTTGATTGGAACATTAAGACTGCAATTGCAACATTTGACATGTCCACACTCATCACCGTCATGATGATTCCTGAATGTCGCAGTAATGATCTTTGACGAGTAGCTCGGCGTTGAAAGACAGAAGCCGGAGGCCGAAACCGACCCGTTTCGAGCAGAAACCTTTCACTCGGGCCTATGTGGAAGCCTGATTGAACCCCGAACAGCAAAGCCCTTCAACTCCTTCATAAGCAATAACAGTAAACCTTCCATCAAAGCCCTACATATCTCATCCGCCCCACGGTCCGGAGAGCTTTCCAAGACCTTTTGAGCCTTAAGCCATTTCAACACATGATGTACAGCAGACCCACTAGTTTCCTTCCTTCTCGTGCCCCCAACCTACACCCCAAAAGATTAAACCCTACATCCCAAGAGCCTAAACCCCAGACCCGAAAAGCCTAAACCCAACACCCCTACAAGCCTAACTGTACACCTTGCAAGCCTAACTTACACCCTAAAGGCTTAGCTCTGCACCTCTAAGAGCCTAACTCTGCAACCAGACTTGGCGGTCCAAAGCCGCTCCGGGAGCCTTGCGGAAGCCGAACGACGTGGCCGTCGACGCGGCAGGCGGAGGGGTGCAAACGGCTTCTCACAGAAGGAAGTAGGCATTCGTGTGTATACAGTTGTGTATGCTTGTACGTATGTCTTTCTGTCTGTATGTATGTATGTCTTTATGTATGTATGTTGAACTTAAGCCAAGGTGCTGAATTGCTCAGCTCGTGATGGCTTACTTGGTGTCTTGCTACATCCCTAACCCTCGCCTGAGCTTCGAGTGCGAGTGCTAAGAAATGTATGTATGTATGTATGTATGTATGTACGTATGTATGTATGTGTAGTTGAACTTTGGCCGAAGTGCTGAATTGCGCAGCTCATGATGAGTCGCTTGGTGTCTTGCTGCGTCCCTAGCCCTCGCCTGAGCTTCGAGTGCGAGTGCTAAGAAACGTATGCATGTATGTATCTATGTATCTATGTATCTATGTATGCATGTAGGCAAGTATGTATGTATGTATGTATGTATGTATGTATGTATGTATGTATGTATGTATGTGTGTGTGTGTTCGTCAAAACAACTTACATATGCATCAAACTATATGTCAACAATACTTGCATCTACATGCATGCATACATACATACATACATACATACACACATACACACATACATACACACGTACGTACGTGCGTACATACATACATACATACATATACATACATATACATACATATGCATACATATGCATACACATACATACACATACATTACATACATATACACACATATACATACATTTACATATACGTACCTTTACATACTTATACTACACACACATATATATGCACACGTACACGCCCTCATGTGTATGTGCATATATAAACACATCTATCATAAAACACACGCGCACACAGACACACACACACACACACACACACACACCTGTGTGCAACACGTATTTCTCTACAGGCATGCGTGCTTATGTATGTATGCACAGGGTCTATACAAAAGGTACACGCATAGCAGCTTTATCTTCTGTGAGGTTTCTTGTGAGGTGCTGTATGAAGGGGGTCATATGGGCCGAAGCTAGGGACAAGAATTCAACCTCGTCTCGGAAGGAGCGTATTGGTGTTTTGTGCGTGCGTGGGGGTACGTGGACTTTGGGGGTTTCGGGACCTTGCGAGGCCTTTTTTGTGAGCCGAGGGTTTACAGCTTGGGAGCTTGGAGTGATAATGATCGCCTGGCCAAGCAAGCATCTCTGCTTCAGAAAGGCAATCTGCTTGTCATGGACACCCAGAACGAGAGGGTAGCCGTGTATCGCCAGGACACGCCGGGAGAAATGCTTGTTTCGGCCCTTCAGAACTTGAGGGCTCAGGGCCCAGGCGCACGAAGATTTTTTGCAGAGGCATTCAGAATCACTGAGTGATAGCCTCAGCCATTGGGAACGCAACCAGGGCTCATTGTGACACGTGACGCCAAGCGGTCTTTCAGGACATGATGCAGCCTCGCACTGCCGGGCCGAGAGCCCTAAACCCTAAGCCCTAAAACCCTAAACCCTAAAACCCTAAACCCTAAACCCTAAAACCCTAAACCCTAAACCCCTAAACCCTAAGCCCTATTCAGAAGGATGTCCAAGCCTACATCGACATCCCAACTCGCAGAAGCGCCCAGTCAGCCCAAACTCGCTTCTTCGAACCCTGAGCCCTTAAAAGTTTATTACTCTGTTTTTTTTTATCGAGATTAATATTATCACTATCCTTATTAATGCTATTATTGCTATTATGATGATGATTATTCTTATTATCGTTATTACCATTAGTGTTAGCTATCATGTGGCAATGCAGAGGATGGCACCCTCGTGGCCAGCGTCATGCAGGGTTTCTTCAAGGCCCTGTAGGGTTTGGGGTTTGGGGTTTCGGGGGGGTTTCGGATATGATGCCGCAACTGGCAACGACGACCAAGCACGACAAGTAGTGATGGTGATGTGGCCTAGAATCCTAGAATCAAGGAGGAGCAGGAGAGCCAATCCATATCAGTTTTTGTGGCTAAACACCTTGCAGATAGAGCCAAGACAGCTTCCCTCTGGTCAGCAGGATTTCTGGTGGTTCTTTGTCGGCAGGCTGCGCATTGCCAGCTAGTCGATATGTATGTAAGTGTTCTACTTGGTTTCTTTGTCGAAGTCCGGTGGCTATCATCAGGACGCTCAGTTGCTAGCAAGCTTCTTGAGGAGAGCAGATTTCTCTGCCAGCCTGCTTGACACCTTGCCGCAATGCCAACGAACTTGGAAGAGTACGCCTTCCCATCAAAACAAGTGAAGCCGAGAAGGGGTACGGGTACATGCCTCTGCTTGATATGTTACCAAGCAGGACAAAGGCAACACCTTCAGCTACCTCTCGTGCAATCATGCAGCTCGGTGGCAGCCAGCACCCCAAAACTTAATCTCATCCTGTTATGTCTCCCGTTGGGTCTATGATAGCTTTTGAGTGCGACTATTCCTTGTAACTGTTTTGCTCCTGGAAACGACGCAAGATCAAACCCCTCTTGCAAAGCAGTGTTCCTATCCAGGCTAATTGCACGGCCATTATCCAGTTTCAATGCCAGAATGGCTTCTGCCATGACTACTGCGCGGTGCTGTTAAATGGTATGTGTCAACAACCCATGATTGAACAACTTGCTTGTCTTTGCGCTGGTCACTAGTAAAAACTAGTACATAGAATCATCGCTGCTTTCTTTTGCATTTACTTCATGTTTACAACCACTTCGAGCGGGTGTGCAGGGTTTAGTCAAGGGGGGCAAGTCGGCCTTGCAGCGCATTGCGGTTGTTTTAACCGCTTGCAACATATCGTTCATGTCATAGTCGCAGTTTAGCTGAGACACTGGCTCCAAGAGGTTTTTTACGAGTGGTAGGTGCCACTACCAGGGTCTCGTCGAACTTGGCCTTCAACAGCAATGCAGATGCAGGAAACTGGGCACATTGCCATCTCCAACAACGATGAGCACCGGCCCCCTGCCCGATGATGGTTGGTATATATCAGGGGTCTGCGAAGAACCCCAGGCTACTCTAGAGGATTCTGATAGCGTGCCTTTGGAGATCCGGGTCTCTCAGATCAGCGGTTTCCGAGGCTGTCAGGATTCATGATGCCAGATCCGAGGGTGTATTGAAAGATTCGGGGTTCTGTGAGGAGAGCCTTGGGAGAAGCTTCGCTGAGTTTCGGGCTGTTGACCTAACTTCCGGCTGATCGGAGTCTTTGCATCTGGTCTTGAGCATTTCGCGGCAAGAACGCATTGCACCCGTCGGTTGCATGATGTGCTAGAGTTGCTACTGTATAAGAACACGGATCAATTGCTTAGGATACAAGCACACAGTGATAGATAGAAGTGTATGTATGAGTCTATCCCCAATTCACAGCGCAATCTCAGAAAACCGGAGCAAGCATACCCTTAAGAGCCCCCTCCGCCAAAAACAAAATCATATTGAAAACCCTAAACCCTAAACGTTAATGACCTTCTGACGACGAATCTCTTGCAGACCTTGCCAGGCTTGTTCGAGTGTGAGTGTCAAAACCCAAAACCGTAAACCCCTAAACCCTAAACCCTAAGCCCTAAACCCTACTGTAAATGAGATGAGATGTTTCTTTGCCGAGGGTTGCGGTCCTGGCGCCACCGTGAGTGGCCCAAGGCTCACTGAGGCCGCAAGGTCTCTGCCATAGAGTCTAACTAACGGTTTAGGGTTTAGGGGTTTAGTGTTTAGGGGTTAGGGTTTAGGGATTTAGGGGTTTAGGGTTTAGGGTTTATGTCATAGAGGGCCATGGGCAAGGGAAAGCCAGGGGAAACCCGCACTCCACTTCTAGAATTCGCAGAGCACTGAAACTGCAAATTGCCATTCTCGGTTCTGCTTTCGATATCCAGATAGATAAAATACTCACAGTAGGCGCTATGGTACAGCACATCAGTCAGGAGGCTCGTAAAGTAGGGTCAGAAGTATAAGTTCATTATACAACTACTTGGTCGTAAAGTCTAACCTGCCCATCAAGGTACTTGTAATTCTGCTTGTTTCTAGGACAGTTTCAGGTTTACCGTTATAGGAGCCTTAAAGAAGGTCTATATACCTTATAGAATTCAGTGTAATTTGACGTGATGCAATGTGATACCGTGCAATGTATAACGTAAACTATAACGCACAGTAGCGTAGTGTCATATCCTGGTAGATTGGGAAGACAAAGCACGGACTATAGAAGCCCTATATGCCCTAAGCTCCCCACCTGTAGTTTCCTTTAATTGTTTGAGCTCTCTGAGCCACTGAGCGGTATTCTTGACCTTGCCGAGCCTCAACCCGAACCTGATGAGCTGCCGGCCTACAGGTGTGCGGTTTTCCGGATATGGGAGTTTCCGAAAATTAGGGTACCCTATTTTGGAATCCTTATACTAAGGATCCTACTACTTAGGGTGCTATATTAGGGTCCCCTATTTTTGGAAACCCCCATATGAGTACTGTAGGGGCCTTCATAATTGGAATAGGATATTGGGGGCCATTATACTGTAACTATAATAAGGATCCCCCCAAAAAAATTGTGTATATATGTATATATATATATATATACGTAATTATTTGGGCCCCTACATTGGCTTAGTCCTAGTGTCCGGCGAAGGAGAACGACCATAGCAACAGCAGTGGCGGTGGCGGTAGCAGCAGTAGCAGGTAGCGTAGCAGTACGACGATGTGACTACTATTTCTGCTGCGAAGGACTCCATCTACCAAGCGCGAAAGAAGGGCTTCCAACTAAAATTGATGACAGCCTGTTCTCCGGAAACCCTCACTCGGCTTGTATGTCAATGCAGACGCGCGGCTCGCACAACATCGAGTTTCAAGGACAGAGCCCGTGGCATCATAGGACTGGTCGGCGCAAAGGTACAAGCTTTGTTTTCTGCAGTCTAGGAATAACAAGGATAATTACTAAGTGTAGATTCGAGGTTCGTTCCAGCTGTCCAGACATGCCACAGCTCAGCGCAAGTCCGAAAATTGTGAAAGCGCATGCTCTCGGAGTTGTCAGGGGCTTGCTCGTAGGATAATATTCGGGCTTAGGATCAGACCTCCGAACAGACTTGCCTTGGCTGATTGTCCGGTAACTGAAATGCACGCACTTCTCCAAATTGTGATTTACTCCGAATTCCCTAAACCTTAGAACCGGGGTTGGGGCCCGAGCTTAGAGACCTTCTGGAAGTCGGCGGATTCCTGCTGTGTTTCATAAGGTCATTCCTTCGGCCGACTCATTGCACATGATGTGTGGCCGTTGTAACCGAAGATGCCTAGAGGCTTTTCTATGCTTGAAAGGGTCGAGGTTTGAGATGCCTTAGGATTCAGCCCGGGATTCTTTCGGTCGTCTTTTTAGGGCTTAGGGTTCAGGCGGAAGGAGGCCCAGTGACTGTTATAGAATCCTTAAGGGGGTTCTAAGGGGGGTATATAACCCAGTACTCCCCATTTCTCCCTAGTACTCCCTTAGGTTCCCTAAAGCTCCCTAGGACCCTCCCCCCTTGAGCCCCCTTAGGGATCCTATAAGGCTGGAAATGTGGGAGCCACATCTTCCATTCAGACAGTCTTTCAGCTCACAGCTTTGTTCGTGAATTTCCCGCGGTTGTAAATTCCAGATGAACCCGGAACGTAATGTAGGGGCCTTAATAATTACAACAGGGTTTCGGGGTTCCTTATTATTAGGTTCTAGTAGAATATACCCCCCCAACCCTAGTCTACTTATTAAGGCCCCTACATTAGGATCGAGACTTCTGATCCGATACTCCTGCGCAGAAGATTGGGAACGGGCCATTTGCCATCGCTTTGGGCCAAGGTGCTTATCGCTGCGTGCCAGCAGGCACCCTTATGCCTTAGAGCAGTCCATGACAAGGTTGTTTAAGGGCGGAGGTTCAGGAGTTTCGTCGCGCAGGAGTTCGGAATGAGTCGTACCTACCTGCTTCAGCGGGCTGTCGGTCAGGGGTCACGCTGTAGGACCTTCTGCTTTTCGACTTTTGAGGCTGTAGGAATCGGGTTGAGGATTGTGGGTTTAGAGTTTTGTTGAATGAAACTTTAGCCAGAGGCCCAAGAGCGGCTGACTTCAACTAGTAGGCCTGTTCCTCATTGTGATCTCAGGTGCAGTTTGTTTATCACCACCAGTTCTCCAAACAAGTACGTAGCTAAAAGGGCGCCTAAATTCGGATCGACCCTGCCTGAACTTTCTTGGATTTAGGGAATAGGGTTTAGGGTTTAGGGTTTAGGTGTTCCGTGACTGTTTGACTGCCAAGATAACTTGCACAATGGCTTCCCCCCATCTTTCCCCAAACAGCACTTGGAGGATCATGGGACGTAGTAAATAAGGTTATAAGTCCATTAATGTGGGTTATAAGTATAGTTACCCTAATTATAACCCTACTTACTAAGTCCCATGATCCTTTAAGCAGCCCATCACAGATAGTGTGGGTAATACCGTGACAGGTACTGCTATGCGTTGGTCTGCACGAGTATGATCCTGAGGGAAATCCGTATACATGGCCATGCACTCTCCACAATAGACTCCAAAGAACTGTTTTTGCAGAGACCCCTGCAAGCCCAGTCTTGTTGGGGAGGTCAAGATCACTGTTGCCGAAAGCACGGGGAGCTCCACATTTATCTTTCAAGCGGCCGGGGACTCAAAGCCAAGAGCCCAAAGTCTACATTCGAGTCTGTATCTAAAAAGCTTCTGTAAGGATCTTCCCAACCAGTTCTTGAATAAACCGAGGCCGTAACATCCATGATAGAGGGAAGCCGAAACCCTCGAGCATTCCAATCGCACAAAGCAGAGAATTCCTTACTTGCGAGCCCGCGAGGCGACTCCCCTAAAGCAGCAGACCTTATACCATCTGTTGCCCCAGACCGTCATACCATAGTCCGACCCCTAAGGTTCAATGCATAAAGAGTCAACCATGGAGCCCTGAATTGCCAAAAAATGAGCGACCTGGGGCTCAGGGTTCAAGGATTTTCTAGCCTGAGCGCTTTGGTGTTGCGATATGGTTCGGGGTCCGAGGTGCAGGGCTCGACAGGGCGATCCTGTGCCTATTGACAAGGTTGTCAGATTCCGTTTTGACCGGGGTTAGGTTGCAGGTTGCAGGTCCATGTGGGAGTGTGTCACTGACACTTAAGGTGCAGCTGGCGCAGCAGGCGGCTCCCGCCAGCCGCACCGAAACAGGCGTGGCTTGGAGTCGTTTGTCCCTTGCGCCGAGGAAGCACGAGCTTCGACGTTCCCAAAGTCCGCAAGCGATGCCTTTGTCTGCTCATGCTGGTGAGATAGCCAGAACGCCTTGATGATTTTCATACGCCTCTGGATGCATCTGCTCAAGCACGTAATTCAGGACCTAGGATAGCAGTGCATGTTTTGATGGGGTAGCGGCACGCTCAGAGAGCGGGGAGGCTGCCATAGCTAAGCTAACTTAGAATTCGATGTCCAAAGGGACATGGTATGACTGCATGCCCCCGTGCAACATGCGGGCGGACTTTTCCGAAGGCCCGGTTTGGTGTAGCGGCAAGTATAGCACATGGCATCACGGTTTTGGATCTCTAAGGGTTTGAGGGTTTTGAGTCTCTAAAGTCTTTGTCGACAGCACCGGTTGTCTGTGACAAAAGTTTTCGAGATCCGACGGTCTCAGGTTGCTCCAGTGTCAGCTGCAAAGGTTCCGGGCCGTCATTTTGAAAGCATCTACGCGCTTGAAAAAAAACTTCTAGAGGCGATTGGGTCATGTCAGAAGGAAGCTGAAACAGTCTGAGAACTTGGGCACAGCTGCTTATTTTAGGGGTCCCGACGCCAACAAAGCCGTCGTGCCTGAGCGTGACAAACCCCGTGCGAGGCACCAGGCCCGTGTCATGTCAACCCGAGGCCAGTGAGAAAGTGCGGCTTCGCGCTTCCGGACTTTAGGGCTTTGGGCCTAGGGTGTGTAGGGTTTTGGGCTCAGGGTGTATGGGGTTTGGGGTGTAGGGCTTTGGGCCTAGGGTGTATTGGGTTTGGGGTGTAGGGTTTAGGGCTTCGTGTAGGGTTTGGAGTGTAGGGTTTAGGGTTTGCTATATGGTTTCGGGGGTTTAGTGTAGGGTTTGGGGTTAGGGTTCTTTGGTGTTCGGCTTTCTTGGGGTTTCAGAGTTTCTGAAGGGGTTTAGGGTTGGCTTTAGGGTTTCTGAGGCTACTTGATATGCTTACAGCTCAGAGTTCCCAGAAGGGTTATACTGGGACCAGACTTCAGGGTTGCAGTCTGCTGTCTTGAGGTTTAGGGTTTAGGGTTTAGGGTTTGCTGTCTTGGGTCAGAAGACATCTTTGGCCTTGAGCCACCAATGAAAATCTGGACCCTCGTGCCCTGGGCCCTGCATGTTTTGAGTCTGGGTAGACCCTTTCGAAAATTTCAAAGCGAGACTCGGCGCGGCATATTTCTCGGCTGTGTGCCGGCCGCAAACCCAGGACCTGGATGAGCAGTTGAAAGCCACGGCCCCTAACCCTGAAGAACTGTAGAGTCGAACCTGCGCCCGAACATTTCGAAGCCTGGTAAAATCACCAAGATTGCATAGTCCTTGGGGGGCTCTTATAGTATTTCTATCTATACCAAAAGTTTCTCCCAAAACCCTCTTCGAATTGTTGTGGACCCTATACTACTTGCAAGAAGCCCTGCCTTGAATGCATCCCCCTTTGAGTTGTGATGGTTCCCTGTGTTCGTTTTTCCATTCTCTGCGTTGGGGTCGTAAAGGTGCTCGCCTAGCACGAAACAAGTTCCGATGAACCGAAATGTGCTCACGACCTTCCTTAGAGAAGCGAAAGCCCGCCCACTCCCTGTATACACCGAGTGTCGTGAAGTACGACTCATGTTTCTATACAGTACTGCCAGGAAGATTGTTGCCACAGCTGTTTGCAGGGTTACTGTTCGTGGCTTCATCTTAACTATCAGGGCAAGACTTTTTTTTTTACTTTCGCTTTCGGGTTTGCCCCGTCATACCTTGCCTTGCCAGGGGGGTGCAAACACGACGGCCTATGACCTGCCCCTCGTCACACCTTCACCGGGACGACCGGGGAGTGGCTGCAAGCTAGGGTAGTACTTGGAGGTTCATGGGTAGTTATAGGTGGGGTTATGAGTCCCCTAATATGGGTTATAAGTACAGTTACCCTACTTATAGCCCTATTTATAACTACCCATGAACCTCCAAGTATGGCTCAGGGTTTCTCGCAAACTCCTACACAAAGTGCCTCGGAGAGAATCGGAATGTTGAGCGGACTTCGTGCTGGGTTGTAGTTGTGGGTTCAGCCGCTGTCGGGTTAGGGCCTTTAAGGAGGGAAAAGAACCCGGGTAACATCCAGTTCCTGCGTCCTCCCAGCTCGCACTCAGCCTAAAACCTCAAACCCTACACCCTTGTTGTTGAAGATGGCAGAACTACCTTTTTCCCATGAGCTCCCAAAGCAACCTCGCTTGTGGGCGTAGATCCCTGCCATGCGAACGGGAAGAAAAAACCCGAATCCCCAGAGACTCCAATATTCCTAAATTAAAGAATATACCTTAAATTATAGTAGGATCCCTAGTATGATTTAATGTGTATTCCTTAATTAAGGGATATTGGAGTCTCTGGGTCCCGAAAGCGCTGCTCTTCGAGGATGGCCGAGCTGGCCCCACGCTGGAGCGCTTCTCCTGAGGCGGCCGGCCACCTGGAAGCCGAACTCATTGACACTCCGGCTCAGAGAGGTTTAGGGTTTAGGGTTTAGAGTTTTTTGGGGTTGAAGACTTGGATGTGATATTGGGGGTTCCTTATTATAATGATAGTATAATTTTGGCCCCCAAGCCCTATTCAAATTATTAAGGCCCCTGTATTGGGGTTGAACGGTTTAGCGGACGTCAATGCAAGGCAAGGAGGCAACCCCAGGGCATGAGCACCCTAGCCCCTGCTCAACAAAACGTGCTGCTGCAATTTGATGCGGATCGGAGCGCCTGTGCTTACGACGGGTTTAGGGTTTAGGGTATAGCAAAGAGCCTGGGTTAAAAAAAAAAAAAGTTTCAGGGTCTTACGGTTTAATTCCAAACTTAATGTCAAGGCGCCGACTGAAACCCGAGCCTTGCCACTGCCCTCTCATGTCAGAATTCCTATCAAGGCAGGTTGTGTTTCTGAAGTTAGACCGGTGTGATTTTCCTCGAAGCACCTGCGTGACCCCCTCTGGAATCAAAGCGTCATTCACATGAAAAGTGCCCGAACGCCAACTCGAAGCGGCTAAACGTTGTAAACCCACTCTATACAGGATCGGACTCAGGTTGCAGCGTCGAGGTTTTTTCGGCTTGCAGGGCACGAAACTGACAAGTCCACCCTGGAGCGACAATGCACGTGACGGGGCTTCCAAACGGAGACTATGGCGTGAACCCTGTGTGGCTCTCCATGGCAAACACAAAACCAGTGGAAACTATATTCGTCTTGGTCGAGCATGCCTGGCACTTGACGATTCGGGTCAGCATTTCTTGCTTGACTGCCGTGGAAATCCATTCGTTGTGTTGCAGAGCGTCGAAAGTAAGCAGATGACCCACCACTGAAACCTAATGAGATCTGTCCTTTGTAGTTTCGAAAAGACAGACTTCAACATACATATCCCTGGAACACCCAAGGAAACCGCACTGGATGTGGCGAAGCTGGACAAGGAAGACCTTCGCGAGTCGCCCGGCCCTAAACCCCAAACTTCAAGAATCCTCGAGGCCAAGAGGCTCCGATGTGCCAGCACATACGCACATGCTTACGCACATACCTACATGTCTATATATATATACACACACTCATGCATGCATCATACATACACTCGCACGCACGCACACGCACAGACAACTGCAATACCTATTCCATCTCCCTCCATCCATCCTGCGCCCAAAGAGGCTTGGGCTGGCCATGGCGGAAAGGTGCCGCGTCCTGCAGTGGTCTGCCTCACTCTCCTCCTTGCCACAGGCACTCCCAAGGAAGATCTTTCGGGCGGTTTGGGATCTGGGGGTGAGGGCGAAGCCTCGTGGATGCGGAATGTTAACTTAGATAGCCAATGGGAGAACTTTCAACTTTTCGGCCTTATATACTTGGTCTGTCGTAGAATGGTTGAGCTTTTTTGGGTCCGGTTATTGAAGAAGAGGTTATCCTCAGCCCGATCCGGAAGCTTTCGACATCTCCTGCCGACCTGCAATTCGAAGCCTCGAGATGGAAACTCCGAGGCGCCGGGCCAAAGAGGAGCACCGAAACCCTAAACCCGACATCCTAAACCCGGCCTCCCGGAAGCGCAACTAGGTCTTGGGGCTTTTGGGTATAGGGACGTTTGCTTACACCTGCCCTTCCTGCCAGCCTGTTCTTGCTTGGTGATACGTGCCGAGTAGGACGTTAACGAATTGTTGGACCAGTATCACTATAGACCTTGCCAGGCTTGTCCGAGTCTGAGTGTCAAAAATCTTAAACACCTAAGCCCCCAAACCCTATTCTAAACCCTAAACCCTAAACTCTAAACCCTAAAGACTAAACCCTAAAGCCCCTAAACCCGAAACCCCAAAAACCCTTCCACTCGGAAAACCTGGAGCCCAACCTGGGGGTTTAGGGTTTAGGGGTTCAGGGTCGTGAGTAATGCTCTTCCTTGGGGTACCTCACTGGAGTCATGGCACGATGTGTTCCAAAGAGCACAACAACCCTGCGACTAAGCCCATAAAGCTGCTTGATCTTCGGTTTCAGACCCTTCTTTTGAACAGGTTCCTGCCGGCCCAGTCAGATTGGACCGCCACACCTCCGACCTACCCTTGACAATGCACCTGCGTCTCAGTTACTAAAACCAGTGTGACATTAAAGGTATTGTAAAAGTTTTGTAAAGGTACTGGTTTCTGACGGACCATGCATCCTAGGTTCGTCCTAGCCAGGCGGGAGGCAAAATGGGGCTAGTCCTTTTTGGTGCGTCGGACTCCGATGGTGTGTGTGTGTGTGTGTGTGTGAGCATAGCATCCCAGAGCCCCCAGCTTGGAGCCCAGAACACCCTGCTTATGCTGGCCCGAAGGTTGAATGGATATCAATGTTGAGGTTAAACTCCAGTCACCTGAAACTTTGGAGCCAAAGTCCCCACTCGCATCCCTTGTCCTCCTGGATCCGAGCTCCGGGAGAGATTCAAGTTGTGGGGTACTTGACGGCTTTGGTTTGCCCTTTCTTGCGCAGCCTTAAACCTCAACTAAGATGCTCAGTAGTGATCAGTAGTGGTGTTTCGGGTGTAGTCTCCTCGTTTAGAGACATCTGACAACGAACAGGCTCCTCACTAGGGAGCTCTGTAACAACAACATCGCGAATTGGGTGTCGAACGAATCTTCGCAGAACCCCGTATAGCCGCTTCTGTTTCTTACGTTGTGACACAAGCCTAAGTAGCAAGGGAGGAGGGACGAGCTGTGGGCTGTTAGACCCTCTTCACTTCAAGAGGTTTAAGTCTGTGAAGTCGGACGGCTTCATGATCGCAGGGCTTCCCTTTGACAAAACACAAGACCGCTCGATGAGGCACAACTTGGAGCGATCTGTAAAGAATGGCTTCTCCGAGTTTTCGCCACTTGGCTGAGTGTTCTGAGTTGCTCCAAGCACGTGCGACCGTGCTCGCACACCCTCTGCCCCCGAGTAGAAACATCTTCAGAGCCACCTCCCCGCAGATCTAAGCTTGAGTTGCAACGTTTAGGAATCTCAAGCTTAGGGTAGTGAGTGCTGGCTGATGGGCAGCTGGGCTGTCCTCGTGGATTTACGACGTGTCGCAAGTTTTGCATGAAGACTTGCACAATGCGCCGTGCCTGCGTCAAGCATAACAAGCGAGAGATGCTGCTATGTTAGCCGGACACACTCCGCAGTAGTGCTTAGTACAGCAGCAGCGATCAGTACCTGCAACAGCCAAAGATTTGTAGCCCTTTGCCCTGAACAGCCACTAACCTTGAACTCCACAGAGCCCTACGGAAGCTTCTTTGCCATGGCCATGGTTGTTTCTGAAGATGACAGGGGGGCCGTCGGGCAGGTCCGGGCTGCTTCGAGGATAAAGGCCATCGTTACGGTCGCCTTGCCGTTGATCGGCTTCGGTGCGGCGGCGGCGGTCTTGCGCGGAGGTCGGATGCTACCGCCAGGCTCTGGTGCAAAACTACCTGTGCCGGAGTCCTTCTGCCCCGTCACTCGCAGGGAAAGTGGCTTCGCATGTAGCGGAGGGGCTGCCCGGAAGAGGGCGCGGCGCCCACGCCGCGAGCTTGGCTTCAATGTCTCAGCTGCCGAAATGGTGGGTCGCATGCGGGATGAGGTGGCGGCCTTCTCGTGCGACTTCGCCCGGGATCCGCGGAGTTCCGTTTGGCCTCCGACTGAACCGACGATATTGTCAAACGTCACAGCAGGTTGGCCAGCCGGCCGCTTTAGCCGGGAAGACTTCCTGAAACACTTCGAAGGTTGGCGTCTGCCCTTGAGCACCTTCTTGCGCGACTGTTGGCTGGCCCTTGTCAAGCAAAGCGGCCAGTTGGCCGAAGCCCCGGAGGAGGCCTCTTTTGAAGAGTACCTGGACCTTCGTGCTGCCACCAACCGCAACATCTTCTTCTTCTTGAGGGATGACTCGAGCCAGTCGCAGGCCAACGAGCACCGGGTGAAGAAGCAGAAGTTCTTTGACGAGACGATGGCCAGAATCTTCGCACCACCGACGAAGTTTGAGACGCAGCTGCGGATCTTCGCCATGGATGGCTTAGCTTCGGGCCATGGTATGCATTGCCATGCCGAGGCATGGCTGGTTTCGCTCGTAGGAAGGAAGGTTTGGTGGGCGGCCCCACCGTCCGGTGCACATGTCACCAACTCGGATGGCCGCCCCGTGTATCCCTACAAGTCCCTTGCGCCTGAGGAGGGCGGCTGGCCCTGTGCCTGGCTACTGGACGAGGCCTCCGCGCCCCCGGGCACGCGCCGCTGCGTCCAGCACCCGGGCGAGATGGTGGTCCTTCCTGCCGGATGGTGGCACATGACTTGTTCCTTGGATGAGCTCAACATGGCACTTGGTGGACAGGAGGCTTGAAGCCTCCTTTCATCGGGAGCTTACACCGTGCGGCTAGGCATTCCATCCATGCCCGTTTCACCCGTCATTTTCCGAAGTTCCAAAAGATGTGCGGTCGAAGTCGGCGCTATAAAGCAGCATCATCGCATGGTAGAGCTAAGGGTTTGAGTTGTGGCAGTCATAACAACCGTAAAGCTTGCTGATGACTGCAGGGTTCTTTTGTTTGGCGGGCCACTGAGGCTGCGGCTAGTCGAAATCCCAATCTCGCATGTTCGAATCCTTGGAAGCCGCTATAGTCGCCCTAAGTCCGCAAACACCTACCCAAACTTTTCTAGCTAGCACCACTAATAAACCCTAAACATTAACATCTAAACCGTGCCTATAGTCTCCATTGTAGTTCCTTTTGGGGATACCTTATAAAATCCTTACTATATATTTGGTTAAACCAAAAAAAGGAACTACAATGGAGACTACAGGTAGAACCCAAAACCCATTTTTGTAGGTTCTTATTATAAACCCTAATATGGGATTTATAGGGACCCTACAAACAAGTAGGTTTTGGGTTCTTAAGGTAGAGTCCAAAAGCCGCCAAGGCCTTCACCCATGGCCCGGTCTATCGACACACGCTGCTCTCCTTGGGTGGAGATCGAGGCGGGGGAAGGGCTCGGGGGGCCTGAACCCCAAACCCTACTTGGAGGTTCATGGGTAGTTATAAATAGGGTTATGAGTAGGGTAACTATACTTATAACCCATATTAGGGGACTTATAACCCCACTTATAACTACCCATGAACCTCCAAGTAATATCCTATTGGCTGTGCGGGTGATGAGAGACCCTAAACGAATCGATGGTGCCTAGGAGGTATAGATATTCGGAGGTTCTTTGGCTCTTCTTGGCACTGGAGTTCATGGTGCCTGGGAATATCGATTTTCGGAGTTTCTTGCGCTCTTGGGTCGTGGATGAGGTGCTTGACCTCGAGCCAGTAGTAAGCAAGAGCAGCATTTGGCGCCTTTATCGCGCTAAGCCCTAACCGCAAACACCAAGGAATCTAGACGTATGATGCAAGCGTTGGTTTTCTGCCTCGCTCCAGCAAGCAAATCTCGAGGCAGAGCTTTAGGGTTACCTTGCTTCGACAAGGGGTGCTTTGATCTGGGATTTATAGGAGTTGTAGAGTCAGCATGGCGCTCCAGACAGTCTACGAGGCCCGAAGCTTCAGACGTTTCTGCGTCCTGCGGGAGTCATCCTCGGACCCGCTGTAGAGTGCATCGGGTCTTGTTCCACCCAGACAGAGCAAGACCCACCGTGCTGATACAGAAGCCTACAAGAATCCAGCAGCCCTCAACCACAATTGGCTCTGCAATATCCTTGAAACGAAAAACCGAGCACCCCGACGGAGCCCCGTCGAGACCCTACAGCCCGTCTTACTAGTCGGGTGCATTTTTGTGGGGTTTGTGCTGGGTTTATTGCTGGTATGTAGCTTAGGTCGGGGTTTCGGCTTTACGGCTTGAGCCCTGAACACGCCGGGAGCAGTGGCAGGCGAGCGTGAGGCCCGTGCAAGCGCAGGAGGAGCAGAGGTTGGATGAGATCGAGGGCCAGGCAAGGGGTTGCCTTCTTCTGTGCTTCGGCTTCTTTACAGACTGATGAGATAGGGCGTGGAGGGACGGAGAAGGGGCGCTGAACCAGACTCTTTAGCTAGATTTTGTTTTTTTTATGTAGGGATACAGTGCTTCGGCTGTTGGTGCCATATTACACACTCTAGAGACCACTACTTGCTCCCTGCGAGGAGTCTGTGAAGCATAGCCATCTGTGCCAATGTAGGCAGTCACGGTGTCCTAGTATTCAGTCTTCTGAGCCGCCCGAGTATCAGTACAATGCCCCAAGCTTTACGGCCTGTAAAGCCTTGGTCCATCTAGGACCGGTTTGTTGTTGTTGTTGTTGTTG